ACCTGTGAATCCGTCACATTGAAAATAAAGCTATACAGAGCCAGAGCGGAAATAGCCCAACAGAGTCAGAGTGCTCCAAAGCATCAGGTTAATTGTCGTTGCCGGCGTCACGACGCGATGATCAGGTCTGTTGGTGGGACGCATAGCATGAGCTCGAGATACCATGGCATACATAGCATTCAAACTGTCAGTGAGATAAGTTGGATGGGCTCCACAGGATTTTGATTGGAACAGGGATTCTACGTACAGTTAAGTATCTGATTATCTCGAGCGAAAAGATATGATCCTACCAAGTGGATATGAGCAACTGAGCTGCCTACAACCTTATGAATCTGCATCGATATATTCAAAGGAATTGAAACCGCACCGGAGGTTTCAGTATTGAACATTGACTGTTAAGCGAGTCACCGAGAACACCGAAAAGTATCCCAATTTAACTGGCCACCAACTTACGAAGTTAACGTCTTGGTTGACGATATGTATTCGCATGCTCCCCGCGCCTTGTGCTGCGACAGACACCGCACAAGCCCCGCCGTGGTAGGTTCTGCGAGTCACCGCCGACCAAAATTTCAAAGTTCAAAAACGGACGGGATATTCGGAGGCCCGCGGCTTCGTTGAGGGGATGTATCGCATGTTGCGCCTTGTGCTACCACGTACGAGATACCCATGGCCGTCTTCGAATCCGACGGCACGCCAACAGGCCAAATGCATCGGCCGGTCCCGAGTCCCCCGACGAGCAGTGCCGAAGAATGGACACATCGTGCATTCGGGCGACCAAGACACAGGCGCAGGCCTAGGCTCTTCTTTTCTCCAGGCCTGTCCGTTCGTTCCTCGCGATAGACGCACCAGAGGGACGCCAGCGCACCAAAAAATCCGCCGAGCTCCACGATGAGCGCATGCATTACGCGCTGGTCTTGAGTTTTCGGGATGACTAGTGAGGGTTTGCCAACAGGATCACGTCGGACTGCAGTAGTACGGACACGAAATGCCTGATAGAACTGTCAGAACGCACCAGTCGGCCCTTCTTACCTTGGTCCTATCTCGTCCTCCTTCTATCCTTTCTTCCTCCTCGGTTCAATACCAATTCCATCGCTCCGCCGGTACGCACTAGAAGGCCTTGGAACAGCTCGTGGGACGCCGCGCCTGCACAAGAAACATCAAGAGAAACATCAAAAGAAACATTATCAAAGCCTAAAGCCAACCGGAAGTGAGAAAAAACCAAAGGCTCAACACACCTTGTACTCTTAAAGCCTCCCCTTGTATGCTCGCCCAGCATTGGCAGATAACACGACGCTGATCGTGGGACACAACAGGAACCAGGGGCGCGAACTTGATATCACCTCGCGTACTCGCAAAGCGTGTTGTGGAGTGGGAACCGAAGCGCAGCCTCGGGCCGACGCGCATTGATTCTAGCGCGTAGGTCGCCGGCGCTGGATGATTCTGGGAGCTGGTAGCGTGCGATTGGTTCTAGCGGAAGACTAGTACACCCGGATTATATGGCGGCGCACGGACAAGGCACAGTATTTTTTGGCCCCAACGTAGCTTGGGAGTCTGCTTTCTCAAACACCGCAGAATTATTTTGGGCACATACCGGGAAATTGCATCGTGATGCGGTGAGCCTAAGCTAGATGTGGTGCAATGAACCCACGGTTCGAGATAATTTTAGTGGAAACTGTGAACGGAAACCGACGGTTGGACTCACCCATGCCAGTGGGGGAGACCATCTCTGGATCTCAGGGTGTAAGGGATCACTGTCGTTCCAGAAACCGAATACATTCTTCAGCACAACTTTCGTGCACGGAGTTGTTAATACTTTAAGCGCCCAGGCCACACGCGCGGGAGATTTACAGTGGACCGGATATTCAGTAGCCGTATAGGATCAATGTTGATATATGTGCGAGGTTCCGCCGAGGACAGAGAATTGAGCGAAGTGCATATTTGAATGACCCTGACTTGCTGATGATGGTGTACAAGATCGATCAGATACGGGGGAAGGAAGGGAAAAGGAACCGGACAGTTCCCCAAGAAAATGAGAGCCACGGTGAGGCTAAAAAACCCCATGAGGGTAGTGAAGGGATAGGACCGGCGAAATAAATACGCACAGACATGCGGAATCGTGAGAGGGGGATGTTAACAATCGAAGTACGACCTTCCCATTTTGATGTGTCCGTAGGAGAGACCGGGATGTTTGAAGTCATCATCGACGAGCTCGTTCGACGTCGAGGGGTGGGTTGAAGGGGAACCTGGAGATGAAGGAAAGGGTTTGCATACACGAAGTGATGTATTAATCACGCATTCTTCGCGCGTAGCTTGTAATTTTTCGAAATGGAGAATGGATTGCAGCGGCCAGAACTGTGACCGACCTTTCAAAGTCGTGATGTAGTCGAACTGATGAAATATTTTGAGAAGCCGGTCCTGTCCAGTGGCAGACGCTAGGCGGACTGATTTCCGATGTTGAGAGAGTTGGATTGGAAGATTTCGTTCGCCTAGATCCTACATCAACAAGATAAAAAGGCACAATTCTTTGGCGATTGATGTTCAGTCGCGGAGTTATCTCTAAGCACTGTAGAATTATTTGGTGAGTCCCCTGCGTATTTGTTCCATGACGTGGATCGAGAATATCTGCAGAGTGAAAAAATAAGCTCTCAAGAATACACTAAAAGCGAATACGTCTCGTTCTGCCCAGGTCAGGCAGCGATGACGATGGTGCCCACTAATTCAGTGAGCAGTAATACGGGTAACCAGAGGGATCAGTCCAGCAACTTGGTGGAACGAGATCGCCGACTTCGAGTCGGACTCGGATGTAAGAACAAGATCTTGAAGTGTTTGAATGTACGACCCAGTGCAGAGCATGAGCGAGGGATGAGCAAAGCATGTCAAATAGTTCAGGATTCCAATGCAGCGAAGGGAACCGGAGGATGAGGCTGAAACCAACGCTGAAACCGCGGCGTCCAAGGAGGCGTGACAAATCACTCGTGACATGTAATTCTCCCACGCCGCCGATCGATCCGTGATGACGATTACAAAATGGGTCTCACGGAAATGATGGTAAATTCAGCTGGTAATGAACAAGAATAAAGCTGGTAAGGCCAACAAGCAGCACGGCCCGCTGCCAGACTCGACAAATCCGGACACAGTTCAAATGGCATTAAATTGTGTGATAAACAACATGATTATCGGGAGCGAGATCTAGGTGGAGTATGAACATTCGACCTGATTCGGGAGTCCGGGGAGAAGAACCAACAAATAGAACACAGGCAGATGCACTTATCCCCCCACCGGATGGCAGGAGAATACTGCCTATATTGGACTGTTTGCTGGAGGTAGACTACTCGTATGTGTCCCAGTAGATTGCATTTTTGCCCTAGCATAAATACCTTTTGAAGGGGGGTAGAGAAACCTGGTGGTGAAATGCATCACACCCACTCTGCCTCAATGCACTCCAGATGAGTTTTGTAGGAGTCCCTGGTCTGAGTCCGGGCCAGGTCATTGATTGGTTCAAGTGCTTTTTTTTCTTTCTCTTATGCATTTTACAGCAAAAGTCTAGTATAAATACACCTTTGAAAGGGAGGGGATCAGAACGGGTGGTGAAATGAATCACACCCACTCTAGTTACGGTAACCGTCAATGATTCATTTGTGGGAATCCCCAGTTTGAATCTGGGCCAGTTCATTCTTTTGTCGTGTTCATATTTTTTAAAACTGCATCCAAAAAGTCTGTATAAATACACCTTGAAGAAACAGAATAAGACCTGCTGGTGAAATGAATCACACCTGCTTTGCCTGGCATAGCTATGCAGGACATGTATTTGTGGGGGTCCCCAGTTTGAGTCTGGGCCAGGTCGTTCTTTGTTCCAGGTCTGTTTTTGGCCCCTGTCCTATTTTCTTTTTTTGGATACAAAAAATCCAGTATAAATACAGCCTATTGCAGGAGGTAGGAAGACCTGGTGGTGAATGTAAATAGTACCTGTCAATGAATCATTTGTGGAAATTCCTGGTTCAAATCTGGCCCAGGTCATCCTTTTTTGCTTTCAATATAATATTTTTTTCCCATTCATTTTTAAAACAAAAAAAGTCCAGTATAAATACATCTGGTGAAGAGAGGTAATAAGACCTGGTGGTGAAATGTATCACGCCCCTCTTTACCTTCGCCATGTCAATGCTTGGTGGTGTGAATCCCCAGTTCGAATCCGGGTCAGGTCATGGCGTTGGTTTCAATGTAATCTTTTTTTCCTTCAGCTTTTACAGCAAGAAAGTCTACACCTTTGTGAAGAGGGGAATATGACCTGGTGGTGAAATGAATCACACCTATTCTGTGTCACAGAATTCTAAATGCATTTTGTGGGAATCCCTGGTTTGAATCCAGGCCAGGTCACTCATGATTCAACTTTTGTTTTTTTCCCCTATTTTTTTACGACAGTATAAATACAGCTTACAAACTGGGGAATAAGACCTGGTGGTGAAATGAATCATACCCATCACAGTTATACGTTCGGTCGATAAATTGTTTGTGAGAGTTCCCGGTTTGAGTCTGGGTCAGGTCATTCTTGAGTCGGCTCAATTTTTTTTTTCTTGTACTACCTCCGCTTCAAAAAATGTAGCATAAATACACCTTGGAAAGAGGGGGAGTATAACCTGGTGGTGAAATGTATCACACCCACCCTGCCTCGCTCAATTCTAAGTGAGTTTTATGGGAGTCCCTGGTTTGAGTCCGGGTCAGGCCATCCTTTTTTGCTTTCCATTTAATCTTTTTTTTCCCATACATTTTGCAGCAAGAAAATCTAGCATAAATACACCTTCTACAGAGAGAGGATATGACCTGGTGGTGAAATGTATCACATCCACTCTAGTTAAAGTTACTACCATCAAATCATTTGTGGGAGGTTCCTGGTTCAAACCCGGGTCAGGTCATCCTTTTTTGCTTTCAATTTAATATTTTTTTCCCAAGCATTTTATGACAAAAAGTCTAGTATAAATACAACCTATTGCGGGAGGTAGTAAGACCTGGTGGTGAAATGTATCACATCCACTCTAGTTAAAGTCACACCATCAAATCATTTGTGGGAGGCTCCTGGTTCAAATCCGGGTCAGGTTGTACTTTTTTTCTTCTGTCCAAATTCGATTATTTGATTATTTGACATCTCGGACTGCCATATTCCAGTACCCTTGTTTATTTTATTTTATTTTATCTTCCGCAAAGAATTGTGGTCAAGTTGGCTGAAAGTGTGGTATAAATACACCTTCTAAAGAGTGATAATAAGACCTGGTGGTGAAATGTATCACACCCACTGTCCATCCTGCTTCACAAAAATCCTGTGGGAGGTCCCCGGTTTGAATCTGGGCCAGGTCGTCCTTTTTTGCTCTCAATTTAATTTAATTTTTCCTTCAGTTTTACGACAAGAAATGTCAAGTATATATACACCTTCTAAAGAGGGATAATAATGACCTGGTGGTGAAATGAATCACACTCACTTTAATTTCGGCTGTAACTAGATATTTCTGAGAGTCCCCAGTTCGAATCTGGGCCAGGTCATCTGGTTTTCTTCATCCAATTTTTTCCTGTCAATTTTTATGTCTTTTTTTACAGCAAAAACTCTCACATAAATACACCTCGTGAAGAGGGGAATAATGACCTGGTGGTGAAAATGAATCACACCTGCTTTGCCTGCTGGTGGGTAGATGGATATTTGTGGGGGTTCCCAGTTCGAATCCGGGTCAGGTCATCCTTGAGTATTCAGGATTTTTTTTCTTCTTTCACTTAACCTTGATTTTTCTTTCCATGGCCACACGCATGTGCAAGATGTTCCGCGTTTGACTTGGACTGGGTTTTTAGATTGCAACATACCACCCTCCCAACACCCTTATTCCTGTCCTGTCCCACTAAAACACAGTCCAGAGTCCAGACCCACTCACTGCAATTGTAATTGTGATTGCTCCAATTTTCGGAGCAGTTGAGTCGCTGACTCTCTCAATCAAATCTGAATACAAAGTGCATCATCTCCGAGAATAACACTGGTGCTAGCCTAGGATAAAAGGGCGCAATCAGAGATAACGAGACTGAATAGGAATGAGATCTCTGTCGTCGTCACAGATAATGAGACTCTATAGCACTACTCACCGAACCTCGTCTGAGGGTCCGACGAGGTGACCTGGCAGACCTCGACAGCATTGCCTTAGATTTGTCTTAAACGCAGTGATTCCGCTGGTTGTTAAGTTTTTTATCCCATTCACTTTTCACTACAAAAACTCTGTATAAATACAGTTTATAACAGCAGGAAGCATGACCTGGTGGTGAAATGAATCACATCCACATTGTGTTGGGGTATTGTTGAAATAGGTATTTGTGTCATCCTTTTTTGCTTTGCATGTAATGTTTTTTTCCTTCAGTTTTCACGACAAAAAGTCCAGTATAAATACACCTTTGTGGGAGGATGGAATATGACCTGGTGGTGAAATGTATCACACCCACTCTTACTAACAGGTGATTCAATAATGTATTTGTGGGAATCCTTGGTTCAAGTCTGGGTCAGGTCATTCTTTGTTCCAGCTTTTTTTTTGGCCCCTCTCCTATTTTCTTTTTTGCATACAAAAAATCTAGTATAAATACACCTTGTGAAGAGGGATAACAAGACCTGGTGGTGAATGGTATCACACCTACTTTACCTTAGCCATGCCAATGCTTGGTGGTGGGAATCCCTGGTTCAAACCCGGGTTAGGTCATATCTGTTGGGCCATGTTTTTTCACTACAAAAAGTCAGTATAAATACACCTCGTGAAAAGAGGGAATATGACCTGGTGGTGAAAGGCATCACACCCACTCTACGAATTATTGGTGGCTAGATGTTTGTGGGGATCCCTGGTTTGAACCCAGGCCAGATCATTCTTTGTTCCAGCTTTTTTTTTGGCCCCTATCCTATTTTCTTTTTTTGCATACAAAAAATCTAGCATAAATACAGCCTATGAATCTGGGGAAATAAGACCTGGTGGTGAAATGAATCATACCCACTCTGCTTTCACCAAGCATTTAGATGTTGTGGGAATTCCCGGTTCAAACCTGGGTCAGGTCATGGAGTCGGTTTCAAGGAATTTTTCCTACCAGTTCTTATGTCTTTTTTTACAACAAAATCTCTAGTATAAATACAGCCTATTGCGGGAGGTAGGAAGACCTGGTGGTGAAAGGCATCACACCCACTCTACTTGCATTTGGTGTATTGTGGTAATTTGTGGGAATCCCTGGTTCGAATCCAGGCCAGGTCATTCATCATTTGCTTTCCATTTAATCTTTTTTTTTCCCGTGCATTTTACAGCAAGAAAGTCTAGTATAAATACACCTCGTGAAAAGAGGGATATGACCTGGTGGTGAAATGTATCACACCCACTCTGCCTATTGAGATTCTATATCTGTGTCTGTGGGGGTCCCTGGTTCAAGTCCGGGTCATGTCATGCAATTTTTCTCAATAATCTTTCCTACCAATTTTTATGTCTTTTTTTACAACAAAATCTACACCTTGGAAAGGGAGGTAGGAAGACCTGGTGGTGAAATGAATCACACCTACTTTGTTTAGCACAGCTATGAAAATAGTGTTTGTGGGAATCCCTGGTTCAAATCCAGGCTAGGTCATACTTTTTTCTTCTGTTCAAATTCGATTATTTGACATCTCGGGCTGCCATACTCCAGTACCCTTGTTTATTTTATTTTATTTAATCTTCTGCAAAGAATTGTGGTCAAGTTGGCTGAAAGTCTAGTATAAATACACCTTGAGAAGGGAGGTAGAAAGACCTGGTGGTGAAATGAATCATACCCACCCTAGTTGAAGTGTGTTCTGATGTGTTATTTGTGGGGGTCCCGGTTCGAATCTGGGTCAGGTCATGTTCATCCTCATCCATTTTTTTTTCTCACTCAGTTTTTACGACAAAAAGTCTAGTATAAATACACCTTCTAAAGAGGGGGAATATGACCTGGTGGTGAAATGTATCACACCCACCCTTGATGTTGCATAACTATCCAACCCATGTGTGGGAATCCCCAGTTTGAATCTGGGTCAGTCATCCTTTTTTGCCTTCAATTTGATCTTTTTTTCCCATGCATCTTTTACAGCAAGAAAGTCCAGTATAAATACACCTTTGAAAGGGAGGTAGGAAGACCTGGTGGTGAAATGAATCACACCTGCTTTGCCTGTTTTTCAGGTCATGGTGTTCTGTGGGAGTCCCCGGTTTGAGTCCGGGCCAGGTCATCATTTTTTACTTATGGGCTTTTTTTCCCTCCGAAAAAGTCTCGTATAAATACACCTTGAGAAGGGAGGTAGGAAGACCTGGTGGTGAAATGCATCACATCCACTCTACTTATTGTTAGTGGTGAGATGTTTGTGGGAGTCCCTGGTTCAAATCCAGGCTAGGTCATCCTTTTTTGCTTTCAATTTAATTTTTTTCCCACTCATTCCTCCGCCTCAGAAAAATCTCACATAAATCCACATTCTAAAGAGGGATAATGTGACCTGGTGGTGAAATGTATCACACCCACTCTGCCTCACTCAACTCTAAGTGCGTTTTGTGGGAATCCCTGGTTCAAATCCAGGTCAGGTCATTCTTGAGTCAGCTCAAATATTTTTTTCTTGTACTACCTCTGCTTCAAAAAATGTAGCATAAATACACCTTGGGAAGAGAGGGAATAATGACCTGGTGGTGAAATGTATCACACCTGTGCTTTATAACAGGCCTCCTTCTCTATATGTAGGAGTTCTCCGGTTCGAATCCAGGCCAGGTCATTCATCATTTGCTTTCCATTTAATCTTTTTTTTCCCATGCATTTTACAGCAAGAAAGTCTAGTATAAATACACCTTTGAAAGGGAGGTAGGAAGACCTGGTGGTGAAATGCATCACATCCACTCTAGTTGAACTTGAAGTTGGTGGTACATTTGTGGGGGTCCCTGGTTTGAATCCGGGCCAGGTCATCCTTTTGCTTTGCATGTAATCTTTTTCTCTTTCAGTTTTTACGACAAAAAAAGTCTAGTATAAATACGCCTCGTGAAGAGGGGGAATACACTGCAGCGATCAAAAAATATTACCGGAGGAAAAAGGGCCTAGAACTATCATATTCAATTTACGGCCCAACTATTACCAGAGATAAGACAGCAGTGACAGCCTGGATATTACCTGTCAGATCTCTTCAGGTAATAGGCTGATTGTTTCCTGAGGTAAAAGTCGGACTTTTACATAACAAAGGAAAGAACAAAGGAAAGTAAAAGTCAGAATTTTACCTCGGCAATCAGCCGGACTATTTCCGGAGGAGATGCGACAGGTAATGTCCAGGCTATCACCGATATCTTATCTCAGGCAATATTTGGGCCGTAAATCTGACATAATAGTTCTAGGCTCTTTTTCCTCCGGTAATATTCTTTGATCGCCGCAGTGATAATGACCTGGTGGTGAAATGAATCATACCCATCACAGTTGTATGTTTGGTCAATAAATTCCTGTACCGGTTACGGACCCAGGTCTCAAACGCGAATTGTCGAATCTCCAAATCACGACCATCACTGATCCCATCACGGAAATTCTCGAAAATAATTAATTAACTGCTCCGAACAATTATAAACTCCTGGTTCCTGACCTAATAATCCGGCTCTCCTGAGTTCCTGGTACGGGTCGGACCCAGGTCTCAGACGCGAATTGTAAAATCTCCAAATCACGACCATCAATGATCGCATCAACGAAATCCTCAAAATTAATTAAATGTACGCTCAAAAACCCTTTCTCAGCCTCCTGGCCCGATGCCATCAGTGGGATTCTCGAAATTAAATAGATAAATAAATATCTCAAAAACCTCTCCCAGTCCCCTGTCTCCTGTCTGTCCCCCCGAAACTGATGTATGGTGCCTGCAACCTGGCCATCGTCACTCGCCCTTCCCTCTTCTTCCCGCTGTGTCGTCTTCAGCCCCACCCACCGCCTACAATAAAAAACTAAATAGCGAGGATAAATCCTTTTATGGACCAAAAACAGAGCCGCTCGGGCACTCTCGCAGGTGTGCGCCTCTATCGATCAAATGGTAGATAGAAACTCATTTACTCATTGGCATGCCTATTTAGAACTTCAAGGACTCCCATCCCCAAACTTTGAGAGACAAAGGCCATTTAAATCTAGGTCAGACCCCAAATCTCTCTTCAGACCCTTTGTTTTCAACTTCCATTCTCGCGGAATAAAAGACCAGATTTGCCATCCATTGAGCCATCAAAGTCCGAATCGGGGTTCTTCAACTCTGCCGTCGCGATTTGCTGGGAAATTTTGCTCAATTTATGCTAGTAAATACCAATAGGGTGTTTCAGACATCTCCTTTTTCATCCCAACTTGGGTCCCAACTTCGTGCCCAACTCAAGACTCAACTTGATATGTTTTTGTCCCGGGATGCAGAACGGCCGCCCCAAATTGGTTCGGTGAAGTTGGAACTTGAAGTTGGGGTCGAAGTTGGATGTCAAGTCGTGGTCCGATGGCCGACTTGACATCCAACTTCGTTCCCGAACTATTTCAAGTTCCAACTTCGAGTGAAGTTGGGTCCGAAGTTGGGACCCAAGTTGGGCCTCAAATCGGGATGTCTGAAACACCCTAATGAGACTTCGCATTCATGAAAAACCCCTTCTGGAATGCATACCAGCATCTGAATTGTTTTGTGATTTGAAATAAGTCGGCCACCAGTCGCTCGATGTTTACAACAGAGTACAACATGTGAGGTACGAGCACCATTTTGTTTTAGCGTCTGTAAATGAGACTAGCTCGTACCTCACACAAATAGCATGGCCCGCTGTTCATTAATTCAAGGACAATATTAAATCCAAAAGATATTCCTACTGAAAGCGACTTTCCTCTCCAGTAGAAACTCAAACAATGAAGATTCAACACTGTATCATTCCCAAATCAGGTCTGGCATCTGCCGGCTCGATGTGAGCTGGTCACCGCTTGCGCGCACGCGCAAGCGGGACCGAGGGAATCTTTGAGCCATTTTCAAGTTTCTCGGAATATGATATCATAGAATTGACAAACAAATCTGGTGTACGGGTACCTGGTCCGGAAAGAGGTACCAGGGGTGCCCGGAGGGCCTTAGTATTGTTTGTGGGAGTCCCCAGTTTGAATCTGGGTTAGGTCAGCTTTTTTGCTTTGCATGTAATTTTTTTTCCTTCAGTTTTTACAACAACAAAGTCAGTATAAATACAGCTTGTGAACCTGGGGAATATGACCTGGTGGTGAAAGGCATCATGTCAACATTGCTTGGGGTATGTCGAACAAGGTATTTGTGGGTGTTCCTGGTTCGAGTCTGGGTCAGGTCATACCCTTGCCGTAGACTTTGTTTTTTGGCACTCTCCTGCATTTTTGCAGCAAGAAAGTCAGTATAAATACAGCCCACAACCCATGATAATAAGACCTGGTGGTGAAATGTATCACACCCACTTTACCTTTGCAATGATAATGCACTGTGGTGGGAATCCCTGGTTTGAGTCTAGGCCAGGTCATCCTTTTTTGCTTTCAATTTAACCTTTTTTTCCCAAGCATTTTACGACAAAAAGTCATGTATAAATACACCTTTGAAAGGGAGGTAGGAAGACCTGGTGGTGAAATGTATCACATCCACTCTGCCTGAATTGCCATACTAATTCTTGTGGGGGTCCCTGGTTCGAGTCCAGGTCAGGTCATCAATACTGCATTGCTTTGCATGTAATTTTTTTTTCCTTCAGTGTTTGCCTCCGAAAATATGTATAAATACACCATATGAACCTGGGGGAATAAATGACCTGGTGGTGAAATGCATCACACCCACTCTATATTAACATTGAAATCTTCTGTTGTGGGAATCCCTGGTTCGAGTCCGGGCCAGGTCATTCATCATTTGCTTTCCATTTAATCTTTTTTTTCCTATGCATTTTACAGCAAGAAAGTCTAGTATAAATACACCTCGTGAAAAGAGGGAATATGACCTGGTGGTGAAAGGCATCACACCTACCCTGCCTCGCTCAATCCCAAATGGGTTTTGTAGGGGTTCCCTGTTCGAATCTGGGTCAGGTCATTGATCATTCTCGTCCATTTTTTTTTCTCACTCAATTTTTTGTCCCTGAAAAGTGTAATATAAATACACCTTTGAAAGGGAGGTAGAAAGACCTGGTGGTGAAATGCATCACATCCACCCTACTTATTGTTAGTGGTGAGATGTTTGTGGGAGGTCCCTGGTTTGAGTCTGGGTCAGGTCATCTTTTTTTTTTTGCTTTGCATGTAATCTTTTTTTCCCATGCACTTTTACGACAAAAAGTCTAGTATAAATACACCTTGTTAGAGTGTGGAAGAAGACCTGGTGGTGAAAGGCATCACATCCACATTGCTCAGAACATTGTTGAAATACGTATTTGTGGGAGTCCCTGGTTCGAGTCCAGGCCAGGTCATACTTTTTGCTTTGCATGTAATCTTTTTTCCCGTGCATTTTTACGACCCAAAAATCTAGTATAAATACAGTTCATCACCCATGGTAATATGACCTGGTGGTGAAATGAATCACACCTACTTTGTTTAGCACAGCTATGAAAATAGTGTTTGTGGGAATCCCTGGTTCGAATCCAGGCTAGGTTGTCCTTTTTTTTTTTGTTTCAATTTAATATTTTTTTCCCACTCGGTTTTTACGACAAAAAATCTAGTATAAATACACCTTGAGAAGAGGAGGAATAATGATCTGGTGGTGAAATGAATCATACCCACTTCACCTATCAATTCTGCCTATTCGGAGTTGTGGGAGTCCCTGGTTCAAATCCAGGTCAGGTTATTATTTCTTCATTTCGAGCTTTTTTCCCATGCATTTTTTTTCGCCTTTCGAAAAGTCTAGCATAAATACACCTTTGAAAGGGAGGTAGGGAGACCTGGTGGTGAAATGAATCACACCCACTCTACTTGCATTTGGTGTCAAATAATTTGCGGGAATCCCTGGTTCAAGTTAGGGCCACATTCACTGTCAATTATTTCAGCTTTTTTCTTGGCCCCCCTCCTATTATTTTCTTTTTGCCTCCGAAAAGCTAACATAAATACACCTTATAAAGAGGGATAATAAGACCTGGTGGTGAAATGATCACACCCACTCTGTCTGATAACTTTCTTCCAAAGTACTTGTAAGTGTTCCTGGTTCGAATCCGGGTCAGGTCATGCAGTTTTTCTCAATAATCTTTTCTACCAATTTTTATGTCTTTTTTTACAACAAAAACTGTATAAATACACCTTTGAAAGGGAGGGATTAAGACCTGGTGGTGAAATGTATCACACCTGTTTACCTTATAGGATTGTTGGTCGTCGTATTTACGGGAGGTCCCTGGTTCGAATCCGGGCCAGGTCATGCACTGTCTGCAAATCTTCTTTTTTATCCCGTGCATTTTCCCTCCGAAATCTCTGTATAAATACAGCCCATAACCCATGATAATAAGACCTGGTGGTGAAATGCATCACACCCACTTCACCTATCGCTTCTGCCTATCAGGAGTTGTGGGAGTCCCTGGTTCAAATCCAGGTCAGGTTATTAATTCTTCATTTCGAGCTTTTTTCCCATGCATTTTTTTCACCTTTCAAAAACTCTCACATAAATACACCTTTTATAGAGAGGGATTAAGACCTGGTGGTGAAATGGATCACACCCACTCTGTCTGATAACTTCCTTCCAAAGTACTTGTAGGTGTTCCTGGTTCGAATCCGGGTCAGGTCCTTGTCTCATTGCATTGCAAATTTTTTTCCTCTAAAAAGTTGGTATAAATATTTGAAAGGGGAAGAATAAGACCTGGTGGTGAAATGAATCACACCTACTCTGCCTATGTCAGGATTGGGCTTGATGGTTTATTTGTAGGAATCCCTGGTTCGAGTCCGGGCCAGGTCATTAATACTGCATTGCTTTGCATGTAATTTTTTTTTTCCTTCGACAAAAAGTCTAGTATAAATACACCTTTGAAAGGGAGGCAGAAAGACCTGGTGGTGAAATGAATCACACCTAATCTACTTGAAGAGCGAGTAATGCTATGTGGTGGGAATCCCTAGTTCAAATCCGGGCCAGGTCATCCTTTTTTTGCTTTGCATATAATTTTTTTTCCTTCAGATTTTACAGCAAGAAGGTCTAGTATAAATACACCTCGTGAAAAGAGGGAATATGACCTGGTGGTGAAATGTATCACATCCACTCTAGTTAAAGTTAATATCATCAAGTCATTTGTGGGAGGTTCCTGGTTCAAACCCGGGTCAGGTTGTACTTTTTTTCTTCTGTTCAAATTCGATTATTTGATTATTTGACATCTCGGACTCAGGACTGTCATATTCCAGTACCTGTGTTTGGTTTATTTTATTTTCCATAAAGAATTGTGGTCAAGTTGGCTGAAAGTCTAGTATAAATACACCTTCTAAAGAGGGATAATAAGACCTGGTGGTGAAATGTATCACATCCACTCTGCCTCGCTCAATTCTAAGTGAGTTTTATGGGAGTTCCTGGTTCGAATCTGGGCTAGGTCATGCATTTTTCCACTTATAGCTTTTATATTTTTGACCCAGTGTTCACAACAAAAAGTCTACACCTTCTAAAGAGGGGGAATATGACCTGGTGGTGAAATGCATCACACCTACTTTGCCTGGCGGGGTATGTAATATCTGTATTTGTGGGAATCCCTGGTTCGAGTCCGGGTCAGGTCATTGACTAGCTTCGGGCATTCTTTTTCTCTTATGCATACAAAACTCTCACATAAATACACCTTTTAAAGAGGGGGAATATGACCTGGTGGTGAAATGAATCACACCCACTCTTACTATGACTTCGTTTTACAATGCATTTGTGGGAGATTCCTGGTTTGAATCCAGGCCAGGTCATCCTTTTTTGCTTTCAGTTTAATCTTTTTCCCATGCTTTTTTTTTTGCCTTTTGAAAAGTCCAGTATAAATACAACCTATTGTGGGAGGCAGGAAGACCTAGTGGTGAAATGTATCACACCCACTCTGTGTATGCGAATGGAAGTATATCTGTGGGTATCCCCAGTTCAAATCTGGGCCAGGTCATTTATTTCCACTTCACACATTTTTTTTTGCCCTGTCCCATGTATTTTTGCTTCCAAAAAGTCTAGTATAAATATACCATCTAAAGAGGGGGAATATGACCTGGTGGTGAAATGAACCACCCCCACTCTACTTGCATTTGGTGTCAAATAATTTGCGGGAATCCCTGGTTCGAGTCTGGGTCAGGTCATTGACTAGCTTCGGCCATTCTTTTTTTCTCGCTCAGTTTTTACCGCAAAAAGTCTAGTATAAATACCACTGATGACAGTGAAGAATAAGACCTGGTGGTGAAATGTATCACACCCACTCTAGTTGCAGTAATGGATGATCAATGATTTGTGGGGGTCCCCAGTTCGAATCTGGGTCAGGTTATGGGCCATGTGAAGGAACTTTTTTTGTCTTCCGCTCATTTTACAGCAAGAATGGCTGGTATAAATACCGCTTGTTAGAGTGGGGGATAAGACCTGGTGGTGAGATGAATCACACCCATCACAGTTATATATTCTTTGGAAAATTGTTTGTGGGAGTCCCCGGTTTGAATCTGGGTCAGGTCATGCCATTTTCCAGCTCTTTTTTTGGCCATCTTCCTTTTTTTGCATACAAAACATCTAGTATAAATACACCTTGTGAAGAGTGAGGAATGAGACCTGGTGGTGAAATGTATCACACCCATTGTTGTTGAAAAATAGCGCCAGCATCAGTGGGAATCCCTGGTTCGAATCTGGGTCAGGTCATCCTTTTTTGCTTTGCATGTATTTTTTTTCCCCACGCATTTTTTGCTTTCAAAAACTCTGTATAAATACACCTTGTGAACCTGGGGAATATGACCTGGTGGTGAAATGAATCACACCCACTCTTGCTATGACTTTGTTTGACAATGCATTTGTGGGAGATTCCTGGTTCGAATCCGGGCCAGGTCATATCCTTTGTCGTGTTCATATTTTTTAAAACTGCATCCAAAAAGTCAGTATAAATACAGCCCATAACCCACGATAATAAGACCTGGTGGTGAAATGAATCACACTGATTCCACTTCTGGTTCGAAATTCCTGAGGTTTTATGGGAGTCCCTGGTTCGAACCCGGGTCAGGTCATCCGAATTTCTTCATACAATTTTTTCTATCAATTTTTATGTCTCTTTTTACAGCAAAAACTCTCACATAAATACACCTTCTAAAGAGGGGGAATATGACCTGGTGGTGAAATGTATCACATCTACCCTCCTTCAATTTGGAGACTACGTGTTGTGGGAGTTCCTGGTTCGAGTCCAGGTCAGGTCATTAATACTGCATTGCTTTCAATGTAACCTTTTTTCCCTCCACTCATTTTTGCCCCCAAAAACTCTGTATAAATACAGTTTATAACAGCAGGAAACAAGACCTGGTGGTGAAATGAATTACACTCACTTTAATTCGACTCTAACTAGATATTTCTGAGAGTCCCCGGTTCGACCCCGGGCCAGGTCATCCTTTTTTGCTTTGAATTTCTCATCCATTTTTTTTCCCACTCAGTTTTTACGACAAAAGTCTAGTATAAATACACCTTGTTAGAGTGGGGTAATAAGACCTGGTGGTGAAATGAATCACACCTACCCACCCTCCTATCAGTTGCCCGATAGTGTGTTGTGGAGGTCCCTGGTTCAAACCTGGGTCAGGTCATTTCTCATTTGCTGATGGTTTTTTTTGCCTCCCACTCATTTTTCACTACAAAAAGTCCAGCATAAATACACCTTCTAAAGAGGGGGAATATGACCTGGTGGTGAAAGGTATCACATCCACTCTGCCTACTGAGATTCTATATCTGTGTGTGGGGGTCCCCGGTTTGAGTCCGGGCCACGTCATTCTTGAATTGTTTCCAGTCTTTTTTTTTCCTTCAGTTTTTGCAACAAAAAGTCAAGTATAAATACACCTTCTAAAGAGGGGGAATATGACCTGGTGGTGAAATGTATCACACCTGCTTTGCCTATGTAAACCTTTGTGCATTTGCGGGAGGTCCCCAGATCGAATCCGGGCTAGGTCATCTGGTTTTCCACCTATAGCTTTTATTTTTTTTGACCCAGTGTTCACAACAAAAAGTCAAGGATAAATACACCTATGAAAGGAAGGCAGGAAGACCTGGTGGTGAAATGAATCACACCCACCTTGCCTTCGTGCACTTGTATCTTGTAATGGAAGTCCCTGGTTCGAATCCGGGCCAGGTCATCCCGATTTTTTCATACAATTTTTTCCTATCAATTTTTATGTCTCTTTTTACAGCCAAAACTCTCACATAAATACACCTTCCAAAGAGGGGGAATAATGACCTGGTGGTGAAATGAATCACACCTGCTTTGCCTGCCGGGGCTGAAAGAGAAATATTCGTAGGGGTCCCCGGTTCGAATCTGGGCCAGGTCATTCTTGGGTCTGTTCCAATTTTTTTTTTTGATTTAACCCAAATTTAACCTTGATTTTCCTTTCCATGGCCACACGCAAGATGTTCCGTGTTTGACTCAGACTGGGTATGCAACATACCACCCTCCCAACACCCTTATTCCTGTCCTACTAAAACACAGTCCAGACCCACCCACTGCAATTGTGATTGCTCCAATTTTCGGGGCAGTTGAGTCGCCGACTCTCTCAATCAAATCTGAATACAAAGGTGCATCATCTCCGAGAATAACGCTGGGGCTAGCATAAATGGGCACAAAGGTGCAATCACAATCACAGATAACGAGACTGTATAGGAACGAGATCTCCGTCGCAGTTGCCAAGTTGCCATTGATCCCATCACACATAGATTTATTTGATTCGGCCCCAGAAAGTCCAGTATAAATACACCTTATAAAGAGGGATAACAAGACCTGGTGGTGAAAGGCATCACACCCACTTTACCTTTGCAATGATTTACAAATGCATTTGTGGGAATCCTTGGTTCGAACCCAGGTCAGGTCATCTGCTGGTCGTTAAGTTTTTTATCCCGTGCATTTTTTTCACCTTTCAAAAATTCCAGTATAAATACATCTTGTTAGAGTGGAGGGTAATGACCTGGTGGTGAAATGCATCACACCCACCCTAGTTGAAGTAGATTGATATCGTTCATTTGTGGGAGGCTCCCAGTTCTAATCTGGGCCAGGTCATCCTTTTTTGCTTTCAATTTAATCTTTTTTTCCCCACGCATTTTTTGCCTTTCAAAAGTCTAGCCTAAATACACCTTCTAAAGAGGGGAGATATGACCTGGTGGTGGAATGTATCACACTCACTCTGCCTCGCTCAACTCTAAGTGCGTTTTGTGGGAATCCCTGATTCAAATCCGGGCCAGGTCATTCTTTTGTTGTGTTTGTATTTTTTTCTCTTACACATTTTTTTTGCCTCCGAAAAGTCAGTATAAAAACACCTTTGAAAGGAAGGCAGGAAGACCTGGTGGTGAAATGTATCACACCCACTCTTAATATGATTGAAGGAGTGCCTTTGTGGGGATCCCCGGTTCAAATCCGGGCCAGGTCATCTTTTTTTTGCTTTCAATTTAATCTTTTTTCCTTTAGTTTTTATGACAAGAAATGTCAAGTATAAATACACCTTGATAAGGGAGGCAGGAAGACCTGGTGGTGAAATGTATCACATCTGCTTTGCTTGCCATGGCTGAATGAAAAGTATTTGTAGGGGTCCCCGGTTCGAATCTGGGCCAGGTCATGTTCGATCAGGTTTGTATATTTTTTTCCCATTTTTTACAGCAAGAAAGTCTAGCATAAATACACCTTTGGAAGGAACACAGGAAGACCTGGTGGTGAAAGGAATCATGCCTGTTTGCCTTATCGGATTGGTGGTTGTTGTATTTGCGGGAGGTCCCTGGTTTGAATCTGGGCCAGGTCATTGTCATTCTTGGTGGTATTTTTTTTTCTTGTGCATTTTTTGCCTCCGAAAAGTCTAGTATAAATACAGCCTATGAGAGGGATACCAAGACCTGGTGGTGAAATGTATCACATCCACTTTACCTTTGCAATGATTTACAAATGCATTTGTGGGAGTCCCTGGTTCAAATCCAGGTCAGGTCATGCAGTCTTTCTCAATAATCTTTTTTTCCCATGCATTTTTTCACCTTTCGAAAAGTCAAGTATAAATACACCTTATAAATAGGGATAACAAGACCTGGTGGTGAAAGGCATCACACCCACCCTAGTTGGAGCTAGCATAAATAATTCATTTGTGGGGGTTCCCGGTTCAAACCCGGGTCTGGTCATGTGTTGGTTTCAATGTAATCTTTTTTTCTTTCAGTTTTTACGACAAAAATCAAGTATAAATACACCTATGAAAGAGAGGGGATAATGATCTGGTGGTGAAATGTATCACACCTATTTGCCTTACAGAACTGCCAACCAGTTTTGTGGGAGTCCCCGGTTCGAACCCGGGCCAGGTCATTGATCATTCTCGTCTATTTTTTTTTCTCACTCAATTTTTTTGCCTCCAAAAAGCCTAGCATAAATACACCTTATAAAGAGGGGTAATAATGATCTGGTGGTGAAATGTATCACATCCACTCTTACTATGACTTTGTTCGACAATGCATGTGTGGGAATCCCCAGTTCGAATCTGGGCCAGGTCATTCTTCTTTAGTTTGGGTTTTTTTTTCTCATGCATTTTACAGCAAGAAAGTCTAGTATACAGCCTATGAGGGGGCAGGAAGACCTGGTGGTGAAATGAATCACACTGATTCCACTTCTGGTTCGAAATTCCTGAGGTTTTATGGGAGTCCCCGGTTCGAGTCTGGGCCAGGTCATCCTATCGTTGCTTGCATGTAGTTTTTTTCCTTCAGTTTTTGTGACAAGAAAATCTAGTATAAATACACCTTATGAGAGGAGGTAGGAAGACCTGGTGGTGAAATGTATCACACCCACTCTGCCTTACAGAACTGCCGACCAGTTTTGTGTGAGTCCCCGGTTCGAGTCCTGGCCAGGTCATATCCTTTGTGTGTTTACATTTTTTTTCTCTTACGCATTTTTTAGGACAAAAAAGTCTGGTATAAATACACCTTTGGAAGGGAGGTAGGAAGACCTGGTGGTGAAATGTATCATGTCCACTTTTTCTGCATTTGGCTGAACTCAGTTGTTGTGGTTCAAATCTGTGTCATTCTTGAATTGTTTCCATTTTTTTTTTCCTTCAGTTTTTACGACAAAAAAAGTCTAGTATAAATACACCTTATGAGAGGAAGTAGGAGACCTGGTGGCGAAATGAATCACACCCACTCTACTTGTTGGTAGTCAAATAATTTGCGGGAATCCCCGGTTCGAGTCTGGGCCAGGTCATCCTTTTTTGCTTTCAATTTAATATTTTTTTTTTATCCCGTGCATTTTACGACAAAAAAAGTCTAGCATAAATACACCTTTGAAAGAGAGGCAGGAAGACCTGGTGGTGAAATGTATCACACCTGCTTTGCCTGCCGGGACTGAAAGAGAAATATTCGTAGGGGTCCCCGGTTCGAGTCCGGGCCAGGTCATTCTTCTTCAGTCTGAGGTATCTTTTTTATTTTTATTTTGTTTGGATGCCGAGACATCTACATCTACTGTAATTCGATCCTTAGAGCGACGAGATTACTTGTTTTGACGAATATTCGAGGGCTGTGGATACTACTATCTATCAACCGCAACATACCACCCTCCCAACACCCTTATTCCTGTCCTGTCCCACTAAAACACAGTCCAGAGTCCAGACCCACTCACTGCAATGTGATTGTGATTGCACGAATTTTCGGTGCAACTGAGTCGCCGACTCTCTCAATCAAATCTGAATACAAAATGCATCATCTCCGAGAATAACGCTGGGGCTAGCATAAAAGGGCACAAAGGTGCAATCACAATCACAGATAACGAGACTGTATAGGAACGAGATCTCCGTCGCAGTTGCCAAGTTGCCATTGATCCCATCACACATAGATTTATTTGATGCGGCCCCAGAAAGTCCAGTATAAATACACCTTCTAAAGAGGGGGAATATGACCTGGTGGTGAAATGTATCACACCCACTCTGCCTCACAGCACTTCTGATAGGTTTTGTGGGGATCCCCAGTTTGAATCCGGGTCAGGTCATTCGTAGTTTTTCCTGTCCATTTTTCTTTCTCACTCAGTGTTTGCCCCCAAAACCTCTGTATAAATATACCTTATAAAGAGGGATAACAAGACCTGGTAGTGAAATGAATCATGCCCACTCTGCCTTGCTCAATTCCAAGTGAGTTTTATGGGAGTCCCTGGTTCAAGTCCGGGTCAGGTCATTCGTTCTTCAGGATGTTTTTTTTCTCGTGCATTTTCCCTCTGAAAAGTCAGTATAAATACACCTTGTTAGAGTAGGGAATATGACCTGGTGGTGAAAGGTATCACACCCACTCTTACTATGACTTCATTTTACAATGCATTTGTGGGAATCCCCAGTTCGAGTCCGGGCCAGATCATCCTTTTTTGCTTTCAATTTAATTTAATTTTTCCCAAGCATTTTACGACAAAAAGTCAGTATAAATACACCTCGTGAAAAGAGGGAATATGACCTGGTGGTGAAATGTATCACATCTACCCTCCTTCAATTCGGAGACTACGTGTTGTGGGAGTCCCTGGTTCGAGTCCAGGTCAGGTCATTAATACTGCATTGCTTTCAATGTAACCTTTTTTCCCTCCACTCATTTTTGCCCCCAAAAACTCTGTATAAATACAGTTTATAACAGCAGGAAACAAGACCTGGTGGTGAAATGAATCACACTCACTTTAATTTCGGCTGTAACTAGATTTTTCTGAGAGTCCCCAGTTTGAATCCGGGCTAGGTCAACCTTTTTTGCTTTCAATTTAATCTTTTTTTTCCTTGGCAGGTTTTTGCCTCCAAAAAGTCTGTATAAATACACCTTGTTAGAGTGGGGAATATGACCTGGTGGTGAAATGAATCACACCCACTCTGCCTATTGAGATTCTATATCTGTGTGTGGGGGTCCCTGGTTCGAATCCGGGCCAGGTCATGCCATTTTCCAGCTCTTTTTTTGGCCATCTTCCTTTTTTTGCATACAAAACATTTAGTATAAATATACCTTCTAAAGAGGGGAAATAAGACCTGGTGGTGAAAGGCATCACATCCACATTGCTTGGGTATTGTCGAAAATAGTGTATTTGTGAGAGTCCCCAGTTTGAATCTGGGTTAGGTCATTCTTTTTTGCTTTGCATGTAATTTTTCTTCCTTCAGTTTTTACAACAACAAAGTCTAGTATAAATACACCTTGGGAAGAGAAGTAGAAAGACCTGGTGGTGAAATGAATCACACCTGCTTTGCCTGAGGCATAACTATGTAGGACATGTATTTGTGGGAATCCCTGGTTCGAATCCGGGCCAGGTCATCTTTTTTTGCTTTGCTTTGCATGTAATTTTTTTTCCTCCAGTTTTTACAACAAAAAGTCTAGTATAAATACACCTTATGAGAGGAGGTAGGAAGATCTGGTGGTGAAAGGCATCACATCCACATTGCTTGGGTATTGTCAAAAATAGTGTATTTGTGGGGGTCCCCGGTTCGAGTCCGGGCCAGGTCATCCGTATTTCTTCATACAATTTTTTCCTATCAATTTCTACGTCTCTTTTTACAGCAAAAACTCTCACATAAATACACCTTTGAAAGGGAGATAGAAAGACCTGGTGGTGAAATGTATCACACCTACTTTGCCTCACTGAACTCTTTTCTAAAGTACTTGTGGGAGTCCCCAGTTTGAATCCAGGCCAGGTTATCCTTTTCTGCTTTCAATTTAATCTTTTTTCCCCTGCATCTTTGCCTCCGAAAAGTCAGTATAAATACACCTTATAACGAGGGATAACAAGACCTGGTGGTGAAATGTATCATGCCCACTCTGCCTATGCTTGTTGGAAATGTTGGTGGAAATCTCCGGTTCGAATCCGGGCCAGGTCATATCCTTTGTTATGTTCTATTTTTTAAACTGCATCCAAAAAGCCGAGCATAAATACAGCCTATGAACATAGGGGAATATGACCTGGTGGTGAAATGAATCACACCTGCCCTAGTTGAAATGGATCAATGCATTTGTGGGAATCCCCGGTTCGAGCCCGGGCCAGGTCATGGAATCGGTTTCAATTTAATCCTTTTTTTCCTTCAGTTTTTACGACAAAAAGTCTAGTATAAATACACCTCGTGAGGAGGAATAATAAGACCTGGTGGTGAAATGTATCACACCCACCCTTGATGTTGCATAACCATCCGACCCATGTGTGGGAATCCCCAGTTCAAACCCGGGTCAGGTCATGTTCATTCTCATCCATTTTTTTTCTCACTCAGTTTTTACAACAAAAAGTCTAGCATAAATACAGCCTATGAACCTGGGGAAATATGACCTGGTGGTGAAATGCATCACACCCACTCTATATTAACGTTGAAATCTTCTGTTGTGGGAATCCCTGGTTCGAGTCCGGGCCAGGTCATCTTTTTCTGCTTTGCTTTGCATGTAATCTTTTTTTCCCCACGCATTTTTTGCTTTCAAAAACTCTGTATAAATACACCTTTGAAAGGGAGGCAGGAAGACCTGGTGGTGAAATGTATCATGTCCACTTTTCCTGCATTTGGTTGAATTCAGTTGTTGTGGGAATCCCTGGTTCGAATCCGGGCCAGGTCATCCTTTTTTGCTTTCAATTTAATTTAATTTTTCCTTCAGTTTTACGACAAGAAATGTCTAGTATAAATACACTTTTGAAAGGGAGGCAGGAAGACCTGGTGGTGAAAGGCATCACATCCACATTGCTTGGGTATTGTCGAAAATAGTGTATTTGTGAGAGTCCCCAGTTCGAGTCTGGGCCAGGTTATCCTTTTTTGCTTTCAATTTAATTTAATTTTTCCTTCAGTTTTTTTGCCTTTCGAAAAGTCAAGTATAAATACAACCTATTGCAAGAGGTAGGAAGACCTGGTGGTGAAATGTATCATACCCACTCTGCCTATGCAAAGCTTGATGCCTTTGCGGGAGGTCCCCGGTTCGAATCCGGGCCAGGTCATTCTTCATCCTCTGCAGCTTTCTTTTGTTGTTTTTTACAGCAAGAAAGTCTAGTATAAATACACCTTTGAAAGAGGAATAAGACCTGGTGGTGAAATGTATCACATCCACATTGCTTGGGATGTTTGCTGAACAAGGTATTTGCGGGAATCCCTGGTTTGAATCCAGGCCAGGTCATCCTTTTTTGCTTTGCATGTAATCTTTTTTTTCTTTTCAGCTTTTGCCTCGAAAAACTTTGTGTAAATACACCTGAAAGGGAGGTAGGAAGACCTGGTGGTGAAATGTATCACACCCACTTTACCTTTGCAATGATTTAGAAATGCATTTGTGGGAGTCCCTGGTTCAAGTCCGGGCCAGGTCATTTGTTCTTCAAAGTGTTTTTTTTCTCGTGCATTTTACGACAAAAAGTCTAGTATATATACATCTGGTGAACAGAGGCAGGAAGACCTGGTGGTGAAATGTATCACACCCACTCTTGCTATGACTTTGTTCGACAATGCATTTGTGGGGGTCCCTGGTTCGAATCTGGGTCAGGTCATTTGTGCTATTTCTCATCCATTTTTTTTCTCACTCAGTTTTACGACAAAAAGTCAGTATAAATACATCTTGTTAGAGGGATAACAAAACCTGGTAGTGAAATGTGTCACACCCACTCTGCCTACATCACCAAACTCGTTGTTGTGGAAATCCCTGGTTCTAATCCGGGCCAGGTCATCCGAATTTCTTCATACAATTTTTTCCTATCAATTTTTATGTCTTTTTTTTCCAACAAAAACTCTGTATAAATACACCTTGTTAGAGTGCAGAATATGATCTGGTGGTGAAAGGTATCACATCTGCTTTGCCTACCAGGAAGAATTGAAGGTATTTGTAGCAATCCCTGGTTCGAGTCCGGGTCAGGTCATGTTTACTTCATGCCATACATTTTTTTCTCACTCAGTGCTTGCCTCCAAAAAGTCAAGTATAAATACAGCTCATAACCCATGATAATAAGACCTGGTGGTGAAATGAATCACACCCACTCTGCCTCACTCAATTCTAAGTGCGTTTTGTGGGAATCCCCGGTTCAAGTCCGGGCCAGGTCATTCGTTCTTCAGAGTGTTTTTTTTCTTGTGCATTTTCCCTCTGAAAAGTCTGTATAAATACACTATATGAACTTGGGGAAATATGATCTGGTGGTGAAGTGCATCATGCCTGTTTACCTTATAGGATTATTGGTTGTTGTATTACGGGAGGTCCCTGGTTCAAGTCCGGGCCAGGTCATCCTTTTTTGCTTTGCATGTAATTTTTTTCCCCTTGCATTTTGCAGCAAGAATGGCTGGTATAATACACCTTGGAAAGAGGGGGAAAAAGACTTGGTGGTGAACTGAATCCCCCCTCCTTTGTTTAGCACAGCTATGAAAATAGTGTTTGTGGGAGTCTCTGGTTCGAATCCGGGCCAGGTCATTCGTTCTTCAGGGTGTTTTTTTTCTCGTGCATTTTCCCTCCGAAAAGTCTGTATAAATACACCTTTGAAAGGAGGTAGAAAGACCTGGTGGTGAAATGAATCATGTCCACTTTCCCTGAATTTTGTTGAATCCAGTTGTTGTGGGGGTCCCCAGTTCGAGTCCGGGCCAGGTCATATTTTCTCTGCATTCCCTTTTTTTCTTCTTTCTCCTGTGCATCTCTAATACAAAAAAGTCTCGTATAAATACCCCTTTGAAAGGAAAGGGATAATGACCTGGTGGTGAAATGTATCACACCCACGCTGCCTACAACACCAAACTCGTTGTTGTGGAAATCCCTGGTTTGAATCCAGGCCAGGTCATCCTTTTTTGCTTTGCATGTAATTTTTTCCCATGCATTTTACAACAAGAAAGTCTAGTATACAGCCTATGAAAGGAGGGGAATATGACCTGGTGGTGAAGTGCATCACACTCACTCTAGCTAGGAGATTGATGCAATGCTTTGTGAGAATTCTTGGTTTGAACCCGGGCCAGGTCATAGTTCCTCCCTCTGTTATTTTTGCCCTGTCCCATGTATTTTTGCCTCCAGAAAGTCTCAGATAAATACACCTTCTAAAGAGGGGGAATATGACCTGGTGGTGAAATGTATCACATCTACCCTCCTTCAATTTGGAGACTACGTGTTGTGGGAGTCCCTGGTTCGAGTCCAGGTCAGGTCATTATGTAATACTGTATTGCTTTGCATATAATCTTTTTTTCCCACTCGGTTTTTATGACAAAAAGTCTAGTATAAATACAGTTTATAACAGCAGGAAACAAGACCTGGTGGTGAAATGTATCACACCCACTCTGCCTATTGAGATTCTATATCTGTGTGTGGGGGTCCCCGGTTCGAGTCCGGGTCAGATCATTGACTAGCTTCGGCCATTCTTTTTTTCTCGCTCAGTTTTTATGACAAAAAGTCTAGTATAAATACCACTGATGACAGTGAAGAATAAGACCTGGTGGTGAAATGTATCACACCCACTCTACTTGCACTTGGTGTCAAATAATTTGCGGGAATCCCTGGTTCGAACCCAGGTCAGGTCATTCTGCTGGTTGTTAAGTTTTTTATCCCGTGCATTTTTTTCGCCTTTCAAAAAGTCAGTATAAATACACCTTATAAAGAGGGATAATATGACCTGGTGAAATGAATCACACCTACTCTGCCTCACAGCACTTCCAATAGGTTTTGTGGGGATCCCCGGTTTGAATCTGGGTCAGGTCATTCGCTGTTGAAGTTATGAACTTGTTTTTTTGGCTCCCCTCCTATTAATTTTTTTTGCCCCCGAAAAATCTAGTATAAATACAACTTATGAGAGCAGGTAGGAAGACCTGGTGGTGAAATGTATCATGCCCACTCTGCCTATGCTTGTTGGAAATGTTGGTGGAAATCTCCGGTTTGAATCCAGGCCAGGTCATATCCTTTGTTATGTTCTATTTTTAAAACTGCATCCAAAAAGCCTAGTATAAATACACCTTTGAAAGGGAGGGGATAAGACCTGGTGGTGAAAGGCATCACACCCACTCTATATTAACGTTGAAATCTTCTGTTGTGGGAATCCCTGGTTTGAATCTGGGCCAGGTCATTCTTTTTTGCTCTCAATCTAATCTTTTTTCCTTCAGTTTTTGCGACAAAAAGTCTAGTATAAATACATCTTGTTAGAGTGGAGAATATGTCCTGGTGGTGAAATGAATCACCCACTTTACCTTTGCCATACTGATGCTTTGTGGTGGGAATCCCTGGTTCGAATCTGGGTCAGGTTGTTGCTTTTCATTTCGAGCTTTTTTTCTTATGCATTTTTGCCTTTCGAAAAGTCTAGCATAAATACAGCCCATAACCCCTGATAATATAACCTGGTGGTGAAGTGTATCACACCCACTCTTAGTATGACTTTGTTCGACAATGCATTTGTGGGGATCCCTGGTTCGAGTCCAGGCCAGGTCATACTTTTTTCTTCTGTCCAAATTTGATTATTTGATTATTTGACATCTCGGACTCAGGACTGTCATATTCCAGTGGTTTATTTTATCTTCCGCAAAAAACTGTGGTGAAAGTCTAGCATAAATACACCTTATAAAGAGGGGTAATAATGATCTGGTGGTGAAATGTATCACACCCATTCCTTCTGATTTGAAATGCAGCAGGTTTTATGGGAGTCCCTGGTTCGAATCCGGGCCAGGTCATTCTTGAATTGTTTCCAGTCTTTTTTTTTTCCTTCAGTTTTTACGACAAAAAGGCTAGTATAAATACACCTTGTTAGAGGAGGTAGGAAGACCTGGTGGTGAAAGGCATCACATCCACATTGCTTGGGGTATTATCAAAATAGTGTATATGTGGGGGTTCCTGGTTCGAGTCCGGGCCAGGTTATCCTTTTTTGCTTTCAATTTAATTTTTTTTCCTTCAGTTTTTACGACAAAAAGTCTAGTATAAATACACCTTTGAAAGGGAGACAGGAAGACCTGGTGGTGAAATGAATCACACCCGTTTGCCTTATCAGATTGGTGGTCGTTGTATTTACGGGAGGTCCCTGGTTTGAATCCAGGTCAGGTCCTATGGCTTTATTCATAAAGTTTTTTTCCTATCAATTTTTATGACTTTTTTTACAACAAAAAGTCTAGTATAAATACACCTTTGAAAGGGAGGGGATAAGACCTGGTGGTGAAATGTATCATACCCACTTTATCTTTGTCTACTTTATGCATACTTTATGTGGGGGTCCCCAGTTCGAGTCTGGGCTAGGTCATCCTTTGTTTCTTTGCATGTAATTTTTTTCCCTTCAGTTTTTACGACAAAAAGTCACATATAAAACACCTTTGAAAGGGAGGTAGGAAAGACCTGGTGGTGAAAGGCATCACACCCACCCTAGTTGGAGCTAGCATGAATAATTCATTTGTGGGGGTTCCCGGTTCAAACCCGGGTCTGGTCATGTGTTGGTTTCAATGTAATCTTTTTTTTTTCCCATGCATTTTTTTTGCCTCCAAAAAGTCTAGTATAAATACACCTTCCAAAGGGGGGGAATATGACCTGGTGGTGAAAAGTATCACACCCACTCTTACTAACAGGTGATTCAATAATGTATTTGTGGGGGTCCCCTGTTCGAATCAGGGCCAGGTCATGGCGTTGTTTCATTTCGAGCTTTTTTTCTGCCCATGCATTTTTAACAACAAGAAAGTCTAGTATAATACACCTTTGAAAGGGAGGTAGGAAGACCTGGTGGTGAAATGAATCACACCCATCACATTTACATGTTATTGAAAGATTGTTTGTGGGAATCCCCAGTTTGAATCTGGGCTAGGTCATGCATTTTTCCACCTATAGTTTTTATTTTTATTTGACCCAGGGTCAGGTCATTCACTGTCGAAGATATGAACTTTTTTTTTGGCTCCCCTCCTATTAATTTTTTTTGCCCCCGAAAAATCTAGTATAAATACACCTTCTAAAGAGAGAGGATATGACCTGGTGGTGAAATGAATCACACCCACCCTGGTTGAAACAAACACCGATCAATGGTTTATTTGTGGGAGTTCCTGGTTCGAACCTGGGCCAGGTCATTCTTCATTCTTGGCGTCTTTATTTTATTTTACAGAAAAAAAATCCAGTATAAATACACCTTCTAAAGAGGGATAATATGACCTGGTGGTGAAATGCATCATGTCCACTTTCCCTGGATCTTGTTGGAATAGTGTATTTGTGGGAGGTCCCCGGTTTGAATCCGGGCCAGGTCATGTTTTTTTTGCTTTGCATGTAATTTCAGTTTTTACAGCAAAAACTCTCACATAAATACACCTTGGAAAGAGGGATAATAAGACCTGGTGGTGAAATGTATCACACCTGTTTGCCTTATCAGATTGGTGTTCGTTGTATTTACGGGAGGTCCCTGGTTCGAATCCGGGTCAGGTCATTATGTAATACTGCATTGCTTTGCATGTAATTTCTTTTCCTTCAGTTTTTACGACAAAAAGTCTAGTATAAATACAGCCCATAATCCATTATAATAAGACCTGGTGGTGAAAGGTATCACATCCACATTGCTTAGAATATTGTTGAAATATGTATTTGTGGGAATCCCTGGTTCAAGTCCAGGTCAGGTCATTAATACTGCATTACTTTCAATGTAACCTTTTTTTCCCGTGCATTTTACAGCAAGAAGGTCTAACATAAATGCAGTTTATGAAAGTAGATAGGAAGACCTGGTGGTGAAATGTATCACACCCACTCTGCCTTACAACACTTCTGATAGGTTTTGTGGGGATTCCCGGTTCGAATCTGGGTCAGGTCGTTCACTGTCGAAGATATGAACTTTTTTTCTCTTTCTCCTGTGCATTTTTTTACAGCAAGAAAGTCTAGTATAAATACACCTTCTAAAGAGAGATAATAAGACCTGGTGGTGCAATGTATCACATCCACTTCACCTATCGATTCTGCCTATCAGGATTTGTGGGAGTCCCTGGTTCAAATCCAGGTCAGGTTATTATTTCTTCATTTCGAGCTTTTTTCCCATGCATTTTTTTCACCTTTCAAAAACTCTCACATAAATACACCTTTGAAAGGGAGGTAGGAAGACCTGGTGGTGAAATGGATCACACCTACTCTGCCTCACTAAACTCAAAGTGCATTTTGTGGGAGTCCCTGGTTCAAGTCAGGGCCACATTCACTGTCAATTATTTCAGCTTTTTTCTTGGCCCTCCTATTATTTTCTTTTTGCCTCCGAAAAGCTAACATAAATACACTTATAAAGAGGGATAATAAGACCTGGTGGTGAAACGATCACACCCACTCTGTCTGATAACTTCCTTCCAAAGTACTTGTAGGTGTTCCTGGTTCGAATCCGGGTCAGGTCCTTGTCTCTCATTGCATTGCAAATTTTTTTCCTCTAAAAAGTTGGTATAAATATTTGAAAGGGGAAGAATAAGACCTGGTGGTGAAATGAATCACACCTACTCTGCCTATGTCAGGATTGGGCTTGATGGTTTATTTGTAGGAATCCCTGGTTCGAATCCAGGCCAGGTCATTAATACTGCATTGCTTTCAATGAAATATTTTTTTCCTTCAGTTTTTACGACAAAAAGTCTAGTATAAATACACCTATGAAAGGAAGGTAGGAAGACCTGGTGGTGAAATGTATCATACCCACTTTACTTTCACCCTATCGATGTTACTATGTGGTGGGAATCTCCGGTTCGAATCCGGACCAGGTCATCCTTTTTTGCTTTCAATTTAATCTTTCAATTTAATCTTTTTTTCTTTCAGTTTTTACGACAAAAAGTCAGTATAAATACACCTCGTGAAGAGGGGGAATATGACCTGGTGATGAAATGTATCACATCTACCCTCCTTCAATTCGGAGACTACGTGTTGTGGGAGTCCCCAGTTCGAACCCGGGCCAGGTCATCCTTTTTTGCTTTCAATTTAATCTTTTTTTCCTTCAGTTTTTGCGACAAAAATTCTAACATAAATACACCTTGAGAGGGGAGGTAGGAAGACCTGGTGGTGAAAGGCATCACATCCACATTGCTTAAGATTTGCTGAAATAGTGTATTTGTGAGAGTTCCCGGTTCGAGTCCGGGCCAGGTCATCCTTTTTTGCTTTGCATGTAATTTCAGTTTTTACAGCAAGAAAGTCTAGTATAAATACATCTTGTTAGAGTGGGGAACATGACCTGGTGGTGAAATGTATCACACCCGTTTGCCTTGTCGGATTGCTGATCATTGTATTTACGGGAGGTCCCTGGTTCGAATCCAGGTCAGGTCCTATGGCTTTATTCATACAATTTTTTCCTATCAATTTTTATGACTTTTTTTACAACAAAAAGTCTAGTATAAATACACCTTCTAAAGAGGGGAATATGACCTGGTGGTGAAATGTATCACACCCACTGTCCATCCTGCTTAACAAAGATCCTGTGGGAGGTCCCTGGTTCGAGTCCAGGTCAGGTCATGTTTACTGCATGCCATACATTTTTTTCTCACTCAGTTTTTGCGACAAAAAGTCTAGTATAAATACACCTTGTGAGAGGGGGAATATGACCTGGTGGTGAAATGTATCACACCTGCTTTGCCTGTGGTTTTGCTATGTAGGACATGTATTTGTGGGAGTCTCCGGTTCGAATCCGGGCCAGGTCATCCGGTTCTTCAAACAACTTTTTCCTATCAATTTTTATAGCTCTTTTTACAGCAAAAACTCTGTATAAATACAGCTTGTGAACAGAGGTAGGAAGATCTGGTGGTGAAATGAATCACACCCACTCTTATTATGATTGAAAGATTGTTTGTGGGAGTCCCCAGTTCGAGTCTGTGCCAGGTCATCCTTTTTTGCTTTCAATTTAATCTTTTTTTCCTTCAGTTTTTACGACAAAAAGCCTAGTATAAATACACCTCGTGAAGAGGGGTAATATGACCTGGTGGTGAAATGAATCACACCCATTCCACTTCTGGTTTGAAATTGCTGAGGTTTTATGGGAGTCCCCGGTTCGAGTCCGGGTCAGGTCATTATGTAATACTGTATTGCTTTGCATATAATCTTTTTTTCCTTCAGTTTTTACGACAAAAAAAGTCTAGTATAAATGCACCTTTGAAAGGGAGATAGGAAGACCTGGTGGTGAAATGGATCACACCTGCTTTGCCTGCTGGCGGATAGATCAATATTTGTGGGGGTCCCCGGTTCGAACCCGGGTCAGGTCACTGCAGGTATTTTGTATAAATTTTTTTTTGATTTAACCCAAATTTAACCTTGATTTTCCTTTCCACACGCATGCGCAAGATGTTCCGTGTCTGACTGAGTATTTAGATTGCAACATACCACCCTCCCAACACCCTTATTCCTGTCCCATTAAAACACAATCCAGAGTCCAGACCCACTCACTGCAATTGTGATTGTGATTGCACGAATTTTCGGAGCAGTTGAGTCGCCGACTCCGTATCTCAATCAAATCTCAGAGTCAATACAAAGAGCATCATCTCCGAGAATAACGCTGGTGCTAGCATAAAAGGGTACAAAGGACGCAATCACAGATAACGAGACTGTATAGGAACGAGATCTCCGTCGGCGTCACAGATAACGAGACTCTATAGCACTAAGCACAGGATAGGAAGGAGATCTCCGTCGCCCGCGTCCGAGTCACCGGTTTCCTTGTTTAAATTTTTTGATTCAGTGTTTTTGATTCGCCCCTTGGTGTCTTGGCACAGCCGCAGATACGCGTTGTCGCGGCTGGATGGGGAGAGACGGCGTTATGGATTTGGGACCGCGTTGCCGAGCGTGTAGTGGACATAATGAAAGGATTTCTGATGGATTCCCGGGATTCCATGTTCTTGGCTCCCACTCGCATACAGTATCCTCTTTGACATGACTGTCAAAGTGGTTATCGTCCGATGTGTTTTTTTCGCCGGTCACGGAGTACGATAGAGGACAGCCGAGCAGGGAACAGCTGGCAGGCAAGCAGACAGGATGGGTGCCCCTTGATAGGGACGAACGGAGGCTATTCTGGGATATGGGTTTACGTCGCCGGCCGGTGGCACTGGGCTGGCGGCGGTTGAAAGAGGAACAGGAATCGAATCTAGATGAAGGTTCTTTGAAGGCACTTATATTATAGCTCGCCTCTGGTCGTGCTTCGTGCTAGGTCTTCGTCTGTCTGTCTCGCTGCGTCGACTTGTCCTTTCTTTTGTCGACCCAAGACTGTCCTTGTCAACCATGTCCCGCCCCGCCCCGCTCTCGTTCCTCCCGCCCAACCCGCCCTTTGCGTCCAACAACGCAAACGGAAGCGGCAGCGACAACTCCGAGCCGCCCTCCCCGACCGCCGGCACGCACTCCCGCGGCCACTCCCCGCCCGTCACCCCGCGCTCGCTCTCCTTCCTCACTCCCCCCGTCACCCGCGACGGCGGCCCCAACCCCTTCTTCGCCGCTTCCTCCTCCTCCACCTCGATGCCAGGCACCCCGCCCAACGGCCCCGCCCAGCCGCCGCAGAACCCCTTCTCCCCGCCCGCCTCCGTGCGCTCCTTCAGCGCCTCCTTCTCCTCCCCGCCCCCGCTCGGCTCGCCCCCGCTCCCAGCCGACTCGCCCTCGGGGCACCACAACAACGCAAGTGTGGGCAGCACCGGGTACCCCTTCCCCAGCCCAGGCAGCACGCGCGCGTCCTCCCTCGTCGACATGCCGCGCGCCTTCTCCACGTACTCCTTCGGCGGCGGCGGGGACCGCGGCAGCTTCAGCCGACCCAGCACGAGTGGGTCGCTGCGGCCCGGCTCTGCGTCTACTGGGATCCACCCCGCCAGCTCGCCCCTGGGCAATACCACCGGCACCGACGGGAGGCCGGCAAAGCGGGAGGCGTTCGCGTCCCCGCCTGCGCGGCCGTTGACGATCTATGCTGCGCCGTCGACTGCACGGCTGAGGAGGGAGAGGCCGAAGAGCACGGCGATATTGGTGCCGAGTGCGTTGGTTTATGAGGATGGTATGTCGTCTGTTTCACCCATTCCGTCTTTACTTGAGAACAAGAACACGCTGACACGCATTTATAGGAGACCCAAAACGCCCCAAAGTAACCGCCAGCACGCGCCCCACGCTCACCGGCACACTCTCCAAGCCCTGGGTCGGCATGCGCGACCCCCATTCACGGTTTGCGTATTGGATCACGTATGGGGTCGTTTTGCTTGGTGCGTTTTTTTGTCTTGTCCACATCATGTTTTTTTTTGTGGGGAGAGGGGGCTGACGATAATGTGGTGGACAGGCATCGCCGCGGGCGCGGCGCGCGCGTACCTCGGGTGGACGGGCGTGTTGATTTTGCAGGTGGGTGTCTTTGTCTTTTTTTTGGCTTTATTCCTTGCTTTTCTTCTATTGTGCTACGCTACGCATCGTCCTTGTTCTTCCTGCCTTCGTGCTATTCGTGGCGCTGGCGCGGACGGGGGCGTGGGCGTGGGCGACTTGCACCTGGATGTGGACGTGGGCGCGACACGTCGGACGTGCGGGTCATATGGGCTGCCGCCGAGTCGTGCTTGTGCGAGACGTCGTCCTTCGTCCTTCTGCTGCCCGCCGCTCTCTTCTCTCCCCCCTCTCGCCTCCCCCCTCTCGTCGCCTCTTCTCCCTTCTCCCTCTCCCTCTCTCTTCCCGCTCCCCTCCTTCCCCTTCCCTCCCCCTCCTTCCCTTCTGTCCCCCCTTCTCCCTCTTCCCCACCCTCATCTCTCCTTCCCCTTCTTTGCCCCCTCCTCTTCCTCCTAAAACCGTATGCTCACTTCGTTCGCAGGACAACCTCTGCCCCGTCCTCCTCGAAGACTTCTCCAACACCGACACCGCGTCCCTCTTCGGCAGCGGCGTCGCGGGCGAGGGCGGCAAGTTCTTTCGGGAGGTGGATGCGAGTGGGTTTGGGTAAGTTGTTTCTTCGCAAATTGTTTTTAAGAAGATGGGGGGGGAGGGGCTCGCTGCGCACGCGGTGTGCACGAAGATGGGGCGCGGGGGCGCGTCGAGGGGTGGCGTGGCGCCTGGTGCGCCTGCGTCGTCCACACCGGCTTCTTCACCCTACGGCTCGCTCCCTCTCTCTTCTCCTCGTTCCCCTCTCTCTTCCTCTCTCTCCCCCCTCCCTTCCTCTTCCCACTCTCCTCTCCTCTTGACTCCTGCTTTCGCTTGGGGTCGGCGCTGGCACACCTCCCCGCTCCCTCCCCTCTCCCTCTCCCCCTCCCCTCCTCCTCTTCCTCTACATGTGCGGCTCGCTAACCCTCCCCTCCCCAGAAACGGCGAATTCGAAATGACCACCCCCTTCGACACCAACTCCTTCGTGCACAACGGCCAGCTGTACCTCGTCCCCACGCTCACGAGCGATATGCTACCGATAGGGAATATTATGGGTGCGTTTTTTCTCCTTCCCACTTATCCTCCTTCCCTCCCCTTTTCTCCCCTCCTCTCACTCTCTCCCCTCCTTCCCTCACTTCCTCCTCGCCCCCAAAACGTCGCGCCCCCCCACCCCACTCAATATCACAAAGACTTGGAGTGGAGTGGAGCGTGACGGGGAGACGGCGCTCCCGGGCTCGTCCACACCGGCGCGCGAGACCCGCGTGTCGTCCCTCTCCTCCTTTCCTTCCTCCCTCCTCCCCTCCTTTCCCTCCTCTCCCTTCCCTCCCTCTCTTCCTCCTCTCATTATTTCACTTCACGTTTGACCCGCTCGCTTTCACCTTACCCTCGCTCGCTTTCACCTTACGCTCGCTAACGCTCCTGACCCGCTCGCTGACGCTCACCCACAGACGGCGCCGTCTACAACCTCACCGGCTGCACGTACAACATCACGCACTCGTCCGGGTACACCACCTCGGGGCACGGCGCGGCGGGGATCAACACGACGGAGGGCGAGGTGCCGGGGGGTGGGGGGATTGGTGCGTTGTTTTCTAGTCTATTATTCCTCGGGGGAGATGCGTTTTTCTCTTTTGAGTGAGAGAGAGCTTCGAGGGCGGGCGGTGGTGCCTGCCGGAGATGCGGAGAGCGCGAATGAGCGGGGTCGGGGCGGCACCCCGCGTCGTGAGTGAGCCTGGATGGAGAACGCTTCTTCGTGCCTCTTGCCCACCCCGCCTTCCCTCCCTTTCTCCTCACCTTTCACTTCACTTCTACCTCGTCCTCGCGCACGCTCGCTAATCCCTCCCCCTCCCCACAGCCCCCGACGCCCCGCTCGACCTCCCCGCCTACCTCGCCGCGTGCTCCGTCATCTCGAACGCGACGGAGGGCAAGATCTTCCCGCCCGTGATGAGCGCAAGGATTAGTACGAGGAAGACCGCGAGTGTTAAGTGAGTTTTCGTTTGCTCTCGCTACTGCTACGCTCGCTATTCCCGCTACCGCTACGCTCGCTACTCCCGCTACCGCTACGCTCGCGCTCGCTAGACCCGCTCGCTGACGCTCACCCACAGATTCGGCCGCGTCGAAGTCGTCGCAAAGCTGCCCACGGGCGACTGGCTATGGCCCGCGATCTGGATGTTGCCCGTCGACAGCGTGTACGGGGGGTGGCCGCTGAGCGGGGAGATCGACATCATGGAGGCGCGCGGGAACGGGCCGAGCTACCCGAAGCAGGGCATCAACTACGTGCGCTCGTCGCTCAACTGGGGCCCCGCGACGTTCCTCAACGCGGTCGCGAAGACGTACGGGTGGTGGACCACCCGCCGCGGGCGGTACGACGAGGGGTTCCATACGTATGCGTTGGAGTGGAATGAGGAGTTCATGTGCGTTTTTCCTTCGTCGTGCAGGGACGATCGCTGACGCGCCCACCCACAGGCGGATGTATGTCGACTCGCGGCTGACGCACATGTTCGAGCTCAAGCTCAAAAAGTCGTTCTGGGAGCTCGGCGACTTCCCCACGGTCGTGCAGAACGGGAGCGAGAGCGTCGTGCTGGAGAACCCGTGGGTGAACGGGACGAAGGCGGCGCCGTTTGACCAGCGTGAGTCTCTACTCGCTATCCACTTCTTCGATGCGGATGGATACTGATGAGTTTGCGTTGCGCAGCGTTCTACCTGATCATGAACGTCGCGGTCGGCGGGACGAACGGGTGGTTCCCCGATGGGCCGGAGAAGCCGTGGCTCGATGGGTCAGGGAGTGAGTAGTCCAGTCTTCCTGAAGTTGGTTATACGATGCTGACACGCGTTTCCGCTTAGCTGCCCCGCTCGATTTCCTGCGCGCACAGAACCAGTGGTACCCGACATGGCCGCAGGATATCTCCAA